TCACAGCCTCGCTAAGTTGCTGAGGCTGGCTTTGACCTTGGATGCTCCCGCCTCAGCCTGACCATTGATTGACTTTTGACCAAACTGGCAGGAACTCACAGTGGGGAAGGACCTCTTCATTAATGGTGCTGGGAAAGCTGGACACCCCACGCAGAAGAATGAGCCAAACCCCGAGGCTCCCCGCACAGATCTCCTTCTCCACACACATCCCAGAGCCACCCAGAAGGGCTGGGCCAGCCGCAGGGGCTCCCTGGGGCTGAGGCAGGCGGACCTCAAGTCTAAGGCCAGACTGGCCACGCAGCAAACTCCGTCTCAAGGTACAGAATAAAGGGGGTGGGGCTGCAGCTCMGTGCAGAACCCCTGGATTCAGTGCCAAGTATCAAGGGCAAAGATCTGAACTGCAGGACTCTTGGGTGAACACGTTGGGAAACTGCRGRACATGGATCTGGGTGGGGATGCCTTAGAGGTGAGCTCAAGGGCACAGATGACAKGAAAACACACAGGCAGGGTGACCTGAGATGACATCAAGCAAGCTGAGGGCCACTCCCACACTCCCTGGGGGCCCAGTGGGCCTGGCCATCTAGCTGTGGTGGCTGCTGACACTGTGACAAAGTGGGCTGAGGACGCCCCCTCACAGCAGGGCTCACTGTGCTCAGGGCGTGGGATAGTCCCAACCCTCTCTGTGCGCGTGTCCCTCCTGCACGGGATAGACTGGGGGTGCTGCCCTTCATCTGCATTTTCCAGGCTGCTGGACGATGGCACAGATGTTCCGTCTTTCTGTCTGAGGCTGTGGATAGGCCACTTCTGTCCCCCCACCTGGGCCAGGTGCACCTGCCCTCTCTCTGCCCAGGTCACTGTGGCTGAGATTTGTAAATGTCCTCAGTGTCTTCAAGATCAGGGAGGTCAGTGGACTAGAAAGASGGACCMAGGGGACGCAGTRGRGAGGGAGGGCAGGGGGAGGTGCTGGGGATCCAAACAGAGAAGACTGTCACACACATTCATGGATATGCCCAAACAACCCCTGCTGGGTGACTGTCATGCACCATCAGAACACAAACTGTGGGTTTGCAGTCACCAATTTATCTTTTTCCTTTCTCTTTTTCCCCCTCAGTAGGATCTGCTGTAGGCTATACATTCACTTGGAATAAGTTGTCCTACTCTCTCAATGTCACCATAGGGTCACTAAGGTCGCTGGTTTGAAGGCTGATTCTCATTCATCTGCTCAAGACCTTGAATGCCAGGGTCA